CTTCGTGTGGACGGGGCCTAAGAAGGAGCCAGCAATCCTAATGCTCATGTGGTAACAGTAGAAAGGACTATATTATGAACAGCAATCCACATCAGCAAACTGAGGGCTTGTTAAGTCAGATTAGACACAAAAAAGCATTTGTTCATAGTAATTTCAATGTTGAAAAGATCACACTCTGAATAGGGTTGACCTTTTTATATATTTATGTATTATATTTAGTTACTTTATTCATAACTGGATGTGAACAGGATCCAAATATTTTTTAAAGTTCATTGAGATTTATTTTGTTTAAAAGGGAAAGAAATAGAAATTGAATTAAATGTACAATTATGTTTTTCTCCACCAGCAATTTGTTCAGATATTTGCATCTTATCAGAAGAGCAATTCGATTTTACTTTCAAGGGAAAACAATTATATTGCAATATTTAAAGTAAAACATTTGCTGTTCGTGAAAGCGATATGTTAGTGGTCTGTTAATGACGAGAAAACAAAAACAAAAAAACAAATAAAGTCATTTGGCGGATTTTCATGAACGCAGCATCAAAATTTCTCCCATCAGGCTTTGCGGCATATCTGTGAAAGCTCAGGAGTCATGTTGGTACAGAAAGATAAATGCAGTTTAAAAAAACAAACAAACAAATCTAATGGAAAATAGGCAGTGAAGAATATTAATGAAGACTTGTTTCCGCAGAAAGGTAGGTCCTTAATCTTCACCGAGATGAAGCTGCTGTTTATCGATGATCTGAGATGGTTTACGGAGAGAAAACGCGTTAGCTTTGCCTTACATTTATGTTTGTTTTTTTTCTGACGTAATAATGATGATGTATGAGTTAATAATTAGAATAGATATAAACTACTATCTGGTTGTTCAACACATGTTTTGTGGTCGCTATAATACATTTTATCTTTCTGCCAATATGACTTTAAACGTAACTTTTTTTAAAACTTTTAATTTTACTATAATGAATCAGTTTCCCAGAAGCTAAAGATGTCAGTTCAACATTAATATGACATTAACACTTATATCACATTTGCATCAGAATTTGGTGAAAAAAAAACATTTATGTTTGACATAAATAAATTGTCATTAATTTGATAATAATGTGTAGATGGCATTCAACATCAAGCTTCTTTGAAATGTCCCTCAAATAATGATATTGATGTTATTTTGACATTTTTATGTCCTAAAAATAATGCAAATAGAAAATATATTTAATATATAGATTTAATATTTATTTTTACACATATAGCAAATGAATGCAGCAGTGCCCAGTGGGGTGAGAAGCTGTTTTTCCTCAGCTCTTTAGAGCCAATATTCCAGTTTCAAATGTAATTGTTTATAAATGTAATAGTTTACAGATATTTAGCAGTTGTTTTTTAGTTTGTTTACTGTGATTCAGCTTTAAGATACTGAGATTTTATTGATCAGGGTAAATTCCAGGTTTATATGTTATAAAACAATAAAAAAAAAACAAATGAAATATTTTTTATTCTGATTTAAAGCTTAATTGTATTTTATACCATATTATCTTTTATCTTATATTATTCCTATATCTTATTTTACACTGTTTATATGGGAAGGTTGTGAGTTTTCTGTGTGGGCTGTAATACTTTTCTATTTTATTGTATTTTATTTAGCTCTATTGTACTTCTGTAAACGGTTGCACCGCAAGGGATTAATAAAGTAATTCTGATGAATGATGAAGATAACAATGATCTTTCGAATCTGTTCAGTAACTCTTTTCATTGTCTTATTTAAGCATGTAGCGATATTTGATCCAAGGTTTTATTTTTGCTGATACTGCGCTAATTTGAAGTTATCTGTTGTCTCACTTATTCAGCTCATATATCTGGTTTAAGAAACAACAAAACCTGTCATGATGAGTCTAGTATTTTTTTTTTATTATAATTAATCATTAGATATGACCTCTTGTCTAATACCACCATGGATTCTACCAGAGGCAATAGTAGATATGGCAATAATGGAAAAGAAACAAGATAAATCTTATATCGTAGATAATTATTCAGTACAGTTACATTTAAACAATTATTATCAATATATTCAAATTTATACAGATGCATCAAAAATAAATAGGAGAGAGTGATAGTAAGGTTAACATTTGGACATACAGGACTTAATTATACACCTTTTAAAATTCAAAAACATAATACTGGAAAATGTGTTTATTTTGGAAAGTATGAAACAATAGAACATGTTATAATAGAATGTAATAAATATGAAAGAGGGAGAAGATTTATGAAGAGAGAGTTTAAATGTATTAAGGAGAAAGTCAGTTTATTAGATATTTTGAGGAAACATTTGGGGAGTAAACAAATACAAATAGTTATTAGATGTTTAAAGAAAACTAAATAATTTCATAGAATTTAATTATAGATGGTCTTTAGGATATCAATGAGTAAAATACTAAGATATATATATATATATATATATATATATATATATTGATAGATAAATACATCAAGAACCACAATCCATACCAGTAAGGTGCGGTAATGCTGCTCAAAGTTTGGTTGCCAACCGCCAACCAAAAAAAGAAGAAGACCTCTTGTCTAAGCTTGAACCTGTGATCTACAGCATGGGCCGTCCAATTGATGATGTAATGCAGCTGTGCTGTGAGCTGTCTGCCAACCAGCAGATCAAGGCCACTGTGAAAGGCTCTGGTAAAGGAGCAGCAGCCGCTGGTGGACTCGCCTTCGCTGGAGGCTTGATTGGGGGTCCTCTTGGTATTGCTGTGGGTAAGCCCAAAACAGATTCAGTTCAATAGATTGTTTGACTTACTTATGGACGTTTGTGTTGCACCGTTTTTAAGAACGAGAAAACCTTGTTTCCCTCCAGGTGGTGCGGTGGGCGGTCTCCTTGGCTGCTGGCTGACTAGCGGACAGTTCAGGCCCCTTCCTCAGATCATCATGGAGCTCAGCCCTCAGCAGCAGCAGAAGCTGTATGATGATCTCATGGTGATCCTGGGAGACATTCAGTGGACCGACCTGGCTCAGTTAACTGCTCTGGTGATGGGGAACTCCATGTTGAAGCAGCAGGTCACAGCCGCTCTCATCGGGTACATCTCTAAGGAGCTCCAGGCTGAGGTGCACTACGTGGATTAGTGTCCCTTTAAGAACTGAATGCTCTGAACCAAAGCTGAATGGCTTCAATGGAACTGAATCTCCAACAAAATCATTGCAGTCATGGAGCAGTGCCAACACAACTCTTACTGTTATCAGTAATTAACAAGTTAGAACTTGTTCAAAACAGGATATATGTGTGTGATAACTTAAAAAATAAAACAAGACTCTTATTTGAAGGAAATTATTTATTATGAATTTGCCTGCACTGATGAAAGAGACCGTTTTGGCTTTAAATGTTTAAGGCTTGGCTGAAATGGGGCGGGGATTTCTACCATGAAATTTCCATAGAACTTTACTGATGAAATGAGCCGAACCTTCCTTGAAGTGATCCATTTAACCAATCTATGTGCTTTATTGTATTTCCAAAAAAAAAGTAAAGTTTTCTCATTCAGTTCACATAAATAAATCAGTTTGTAAATAAAAAAAGCTCATGTGTCTCATTAACAAAATTGCCCCCACTTTAAAATAATCAGCTGCTGACCCAGTATTAAAGGTAGTGGAGGATGTTCTTCCTGGTGGAACATCAAAATAAGTGGTCCTCCTAATTGTTAATCATTCTGATTATGTTTACATAAGGCCATCGTATGTGCTCATCCTCATTCATCCTCACAAGAAAGCTTGTATGAGCGATGCAAACAACTTGTGCTCAACAGAGTACACGAGGAGAAATGGGCTTTTGCATGCTCTTACACGTGTTTAATATTAGGGGTGGGTATTGGCAAAGAAGTCACAATTCAATTCGAATCATGATTCACATGCCACGATGCGATTCTATCACGATGCATCACGATACTTGAAATATTGCGATGCATTGGGATATTTTCACTGAACACTGTAAGAAAAAGATACAGCCCTTACCAGTGGCTGACTGGCTGTGTATGATCTGGATAGTGTCTTCAATTGATACATAACTGAAAGCAACTGAATTCATACATAGCTGTATTTATTGAAATTACTTTTGGAGGTGTTGTCATGAAAACAAATACTGGACAGAAATATTACTATTACTGGCGTGGACACACTGACAAAAAGATCTTAAGATTCATCAAACTTAAAATAACAAAATGAGGATAATCAGTGCAATTTACATGGCCTCAGTGGTCTTTTAAACCAATGAAATGAAAACATTCAAATGTAAGACATTTCCCCTTTTGCAAATTACGTGCTTCATATCAATTTCATTTTTAAAGCCAAAATGCATCCAAGCATCTGACTTGAAATGTGATGGAGCTGGGGGGCGAATTTTCTCAGTCTCCTCCATATTTTGTTTACGAATGACTCTTCTCAGTATCCCACGGCCAGACATGCTTGTGACACAAAGCAGCAGGCGTCAACACATCCGCAGCGACATCTGCTGGACTGGAATTGGTATTCCACTTGGTTTGATTGATGTGCGCCAACCATTAATGTATTTTATTTGTTCATTTTTTTTTTTATAATCGATTCTTGCCTTCAAGAATCGATTCAGTAGATCACAAAAATTAGAATCACAATGCATCGATTTGACGATTATTTTGCACACCCTTATTTAATATAGTTTCCCTCTCAGGAGCGGGTAAAGGGCTGTACATGTGCATTTTTTATGCATTAAGCTTAATATGCCAAGCTTCCTGCATTACAGACTAAATTCCTAATCATGTATTCGAACATGTCAATCATCTTTTCCTTCTGTTAATAGATTTTTTTTGTAAACAATGGATTTAATAATTCTATTTTATTAATCTCACATTGGAGAAATTTACCTCTGTGTTTAATTCATCCCCTTGGGGAGCAGGGGCAGTGTGGGGTTAAAGGTCTTGCTCAGGGACCCAGAGTGCAGGCTGTGGGGTACTTCAAACCTTCTGAAAGCACAAGCGCACTGCTATAACCACTAGGCCAACACTAGGCTCATTTCAGCATGAAGATGTTAAAATCTCAAGAATTGAGCTGCATCTCAGTAAGGTTTATCCTTAAAAAGCATATTCCATAAAATTAATTGGAACTTGAAAGGGGTTTAATGTGATGTATTTATGGCTTACAGCGAATGAACACCCAACATTTAGTTAAAAAAAAAAAAAAAGGACCAGTAAACCTTTATTTTTATTTTTTATTTTTATGCAGAAATCTGTGGAGTTAATGGTTGTGTAGCAGACAGTTACTGACATCCTTTCCAGGATGGTAGGTGATACAAATGGCTGTTCAGGGTGCTGGACCCAAGTATATTAATGGAAAGTTAGGTGAAAGAAAAAAATGCAGACAAGGATAAGCAGAGCCTTGAGAGTATATAAGGCCAACTTGATCGTTTGGGGCGAGTTAACCTTGTCCAAGCTCAGCAGCAGCTGGTGTAGATGTTTTAAAAACACATGGGTTACAACTGGAACCTTCCTTCTGTTAAACCACTTTACAAAATATATTTGATGATTCTGGTGTCCAAAACCTTTACAGCCATCTGCCAGGACAATTCAGTCTTTCATAAAAGATGGAATGATTGAAGATGTTCATTTTCTGAGAATCTAATTTTTACTTCATAAAGCCATAATTATAAGAACTTAGAAAAAACATCCTGGATATATCACTATGTGATGATTTTATGTCATGAGTGTAATGGTCTGAAAGAAATTCAATAAATCCATTTACTCTTTAGAGAAATCATTAATCAAAAGGAACATCAGTGATGGGTTAATCAAGCACCTTGAAGAGTTTCAACACATTGCCAAACTGTATTGATACTGTCTCTCAGAATACTGACACCTGCTGGACCTTTAAAGACACTACAGGCTGCTTATTTTACAGACTTAATTGATTTGATGACCTAGTACAATAATATAATTTAAATTATTGTAGGTTATATTGTATTATTTTATATCTAGGTTTAAATTGAAAATATCTTTTATGTTTTTAGATGCAGCATATAAATAATGTAAACATATATATTGAGAACATTTAGGGGAATATGAAAGGATGCTTGTGGACTAGGTTTTTAAATCATAATTTTAAAACAATAAGTACAGTAAAAACAGTAAATAAACTAAGAGTCAATTTCAAATTAACTTTAATTCATATAAGTTGAGTGATAACTACAAGGAAAAGTTTGACACAATGAGAACATTAAAATAAAAATGCAACTGTTGAGACGTTTCCATTCCTTTCAGGATGCTCCAAAATTCTTGATAATTTTAATGATGAACCGCAAAAGATATGACTTTTTTTTTAACAGATGCATCACGTTGACAGATGCATTTTTAAACAGATTAGTGTGTCAGTCAGAAACTATTCCTGTATTGGTCACATGACTTTCTTGAAACAAAACGCTAATAAACGATAGTGTTTTCCTCTATGGGGTCGACGCATTCACCGACACATTGGTGTTGCTGGACACATCATTAATGAACATCTGGTTCTGTTTAGTTTAACTAAAAAGAACCCTGAAACCTTTCGAGAGATGTACCTGAGATGCTGAGGGGTCAGGAAAAGCAGCATCACAAATTGACTTTGTGTTATTGTTTAATGAGTGTTTATAGAAACCCCTAATCAACTTTTTCAGAGGGTGCTGGAAGATTCCCAAATGTTTTTAACTCCAATTTGATTTTCTTCTGTGCATATGCTGTTAAAATCCACCCTTTCTGTAGCTGACTCTAACTTTAATGGTACAAGTATTGATACTTAAAGCACTTATGAATGAGAGGACTACATTTAGATGGTTAAGGTACTTTTATTGTTGTCTGTGCAGCAGAAACAATTCAGATGAGTGAAAAGGAGAAGATTCACTCAAGACTGAGCGGCGCATTTGCAAATAACTATTAGCAAGCATGGATTTATGCCCCCCTCAAACTAAGAGAATCAACTGAAGATATATATCAGAGGGAGGAGTTTAAAAAGCTTTGTTTTTATCCCACAATAACCGTTTCCTCATCTGGGAACTCATAGTAGGGGACCTCAAGGTTGAGTGGAGCAGGTCCCTTCCTTATTCGTCCAGAAGCATCGTAGTGTGAGCCGTGGCACGGACAATAGTAGCCACCATATTCTCCTGCATTAGCAATGGGCACACAGCCAAGATGGGTGCACACGCCGAGAACGATGACCCACTTGGGGTTGAGCACTCTATCTTTGTCATGCTGGGGGTCGCGCAGCTCTCCCAGATTCACGTTAGCCTCTGCTGCGATTTCCTTCTCTGTGCGGTGACGTACGAACAGTGGCTTCCCTCTCCACTTGAAGGTCATGTTTTTGCCTTCTGGGATGTCGCCAAGCTTGATCTCGATCTTGGATAAGGCCAGAACATCAGCTGACGCGCTCATAGAGGAGATAAACTGGGTGACCACCGTCTTGGCTGAATACACGGCAATCACAGTGGTAGCTCCAGTCACCAGGTAGGAAAAGGTCCTCCTGGCCTCACTGCTCTCCTGGGAGGACTTCTGGGGATCCAAGACCTCGGGCCGACGGTAGTCAGAGAAGTCTGGAATCTTGATGTCTGTGTGGGCATGGCGGGATCCGGCTGGAGCTGGATAAAGACAGAGTTATAATAGTGATGCAGTTTTACGATTTCATCTTTGATGATAATTATCATTAAACATCCCAGTCACATTAGAAATAAAACAAAAAATTCTTCAGCTACGGTGAAAGAAAATAACTTAAATACAACTATAATCGTCTGATGACCACATTTGGTAGATAATTCACCAATGTTTTGCCCAATACTTGTGTGTCACAACTGCCAATGGGACTTTTTATAATTGTATTTCGAAAATTGCTCCATAAAAGTTCAAATTAGTGAAAAACTACTTGTAGTGTCAACAGATTCTCATAATTCAGCCGTTTATTACTAATAATTATTAACCTCTTTGACCTGTATGATGTTTTCTTTTGTCAATACCGTTTATTACTTCTTTTTTGTTTTAACGAATCAAATTATCCAAAGATTAATTCTCTTAACTTATTAGATGACTTCTGGAAAAAAGTGAATGCACTGGATTTAAATCAGCGTATCTGAGAAAAATGGGCATTACCTTTTAATTTGTCTTAAACTTAAAATTAATATAGAAATAGTGAAGATAACTGTTAACAAAATGTAAAAAAAAAAGCCTTTTAAAGATGAAATTACAACACTGATTTACAGATCTACATGATCAAAATGATATAACCAGCCAGTGTAGCATAAATGCATACTAGTCGTTTTTTTAAGTTACAGACTGACACCTTTTCTCTTGTTTAAGGTCAACAAGAGAAGGTCAAGTTACAAATTGATCTGCAACTCAAATACTAGTAAGTTAAACATATTTTCACATATACAGCATGGACAATTTCACATTAAGCATCAATAAAAAGGGGACATTGAGATTGTAGTAGTTTCTTATTTTTGGTTTTAAGTCAAATTTGGGATGGGACATCCTGCATATATAATGATAATAAGATACATTAAAAAGGAAGAAGATAAATTTATTCTGAAGTCATTTTCCCCCCTCATGTTTAAAGGATTTGTTCACTCATGCCACAGATTTCCTTAAGGGAAAAAGCCAATATTCTACTAGCTGAATTCAGGTGGTATTTATTATATTACATTAAAATAAATGTTTAGTTTACACATTTTACAAGTTTACAGACCGCAAAAATCTGTTTAAGTTTCTGAAGCTTGTATGTTACGTCACTAAGCTAGTTAGCAACCCGGTGGCTAACGTTACAGCTCATCCTTACCAGCAGCAGGTAGAAACTCTTTGGCTCCAGGGAACACCAGGCTTTTAACACCGTGTTTAGTCGCTAGAAAGTAGGGGGAAAAGACCCCGGACCGAAGCACGGAGGACATCATCTTTGCCCCAAAATAAAAGAAAACCTCAACCCCACAGTTGGGGACGCGACCTTTCGTCTAGCTACACCGGACTTGTCTGGTCTGCCTTCGCGAAAATACTCTCTTATACGTAACAGTGATGTTACATGTTTGACAAAAAAAAAAAAAATGTCCTCTACACTTATCGACCCATACATAATCAGTTTTCAAAAAAAAATTATTTGGAAAAACATTTTTATACCCGAAATAAAATACTTTTATTATTTCACCTTGATTTTTTTATGTTAAAATGCGCATTTAGGTCAGGCTTTTCTGGAGGCCAACTAAATCGTGGGTCCCTGTGATGTAAACAAGGGTCCTTGAACAAAATATACGGAGATTACCCGCACAATGGTAACCTGAGCTAAGATAAGAAAATGAAAATACCAAAAAGGAAGCTATTTCTTCTAATCATTTTTGCATATGTGGCCTTTTCGCTCTATGCCGCTTATAATGTGTTCTTTAGCAACAAAGTAATTTCCCGCGTTCACCGGGTGGTGGTGAAGAAAGACAGCATCGCACCAGCGGGTAATTCCTACAAACACAGGCTTTGTGGTCGGATGCGTAATAAAGGCTTCCCAAAAATGTCAGTCTGTAGGTGAAAAGATGATGCCGTGTTTTGTCTTTAGGTGGTGTCAGAGATGGCGGGGCCCCTTTTGTAGCAGATGAGTGGAATCCGTGGGAGGATGAGGAGGTGGAGTACAATTCAGCTTTAAACAAGAAGAGACAGGCTTTCAAGCAGTACATGGGTCGAATTGACAGAAATAAACCCAAAAGTTACAAGATTCAAATCTGGGGGAAAGCTGCAATAGGTAGGCCACTTTATATATATTACACATATTGCATTTTATATATATGCTACACTTTTATATATATATATATATATATATATATGTATATATATATGTATTAGGGGTGGAACGGTTCACAAAATCCACGGTTCGGTTCACGGTTTTCGGTTTGGTTCGGTATATGTTGATTGTTACACCGAAATCCCATAAAAATTAATGAATAAATCCCCAAAAATGTATGAATTGTAATTATTTTTAATGATCCATGGAAACCCTGGATCATTTCCGCCTGTTTTGCTGCTTTGAATTTAATCATCTCGCGCATGGCCTTTACGATCTCCAATCATCTCGCGCATGGCCTTTACGATCTCCAAGGAACTCAGAGCGGACGGGAGCCACAGCGGACGCTGTAGGCTTTGCTTTGCGCAGGTGGTCTGGAGCGAAGCGCTGATGGAGTATGTGGGATTTCGGGGTTAGCATGACATGTTGATCATGTTGCTGTTATCATAAACAAAACGTGTTGCACAATGCTTGCACTCTGTTGCACTTTTATCCACAACTTTCTTTCCGCCGTCATCGTAGGTCACTCTAAATGCAAAGCGGTCCCATACAGCAGAACTATAAAGTGCTGCTGGCGCGTCTTTCAACTCCTTTTCTTTCCCACTCGCCATACCCACACAATTCTCCACAACAACTGATTTTTTTCTGCTACACCTGTTTCTCAATATGCGTTCTTGAGCATTCTCGTGTACTCGTGACACGTCATCAGCCTCAGCCCGAGTACCGTTCCAATTCTCGAGAACGCACCAAATCCCCGGATGTTGTTCTCGCCCCGCCCTCTTTATCGAGCATGCATCAGAGCAGACTTGTGGGTTCTTCAGGGCGTTTCTCAATTCACGAGAATGCGAGTACGTACTCGCGTTCTCGTCAAGTCCGTTCTTGGCAAGAACGCAGGAAGAGCGGACTTGACGAGAACGCAAGCACGTATGTGTATTGGAGCAGAAGCGTACTCGTGACGTCATCACATGCAACGTTGTTTAGCATTTCTTTAACAGTCAAAACTATTTATTCCCTACACAAAACATTTTGAAAACAATATTTTCTAAAGCTTAAAAAACATTAAAAAAAAATTACCGAACCGCAAAAAACCGGCATCAGAACGAGCGGTAGTTCACACATAACTAGACCGAGAGAAGTGCACTACAGA